TGTTATTTTCCTTGTTAATACATCAGGTAGGTATCAAAAATATCACACAAGCAAAGAACCTAAAAAGTTAAACATATGGTCCATCCCTCTTTTTTTTTTTTACTGCTGTGCTTATCATGTATCATGCAAGTCATTTTAATTGTACATTTTTTATTAGGTAGGATTTATAGTTTTATAATTGTAAACATTTAGTATATATAACATAAGCTTGTTTGACTAGTCAACTTAGGTAGAAAAAAATTGTATGTCTGCATTATATTTAATGCTGACAACTCTGAAGACATGCTTGTTTTTATTTTAACAATTTAAAAACTAGCCTTATTTACCAAAGATTATTCCAGATTGTATGAACTTAAAAAAACATTTGGGTTAGTTTCTACAATTCTGAGAGTTTTAGGAATACTTTATATAAGCACTCATTTATCTCTAAGCCTATGTGAATAAAACTCCTTTAAGATTTTATAAACTAATTTGGTAATACCATCTGGAGGTAAAAAATATCACATATATAACATATATACATACACATATAAATAAACATACACACAGATGCAAACAGAGATCTTTTTTTTTTTTTGGTGAGGAAGATTGGCCCTGAGCTAACATCTGTGCCAATCTTCCTCTATTTTGTATGTGGGATGCTGCCATAGCATGGCTTGATGAGTGGTGTGTAGGTCTGCACCCAGGATCCTAACCTGCGAACCCTGGGCCACTGAAGCGGAGTGAGCATATTTAACCACTATGCCACCAGGCCGGCCCCACAAACAGAGATCTTATAACTTTCATTCTAAAATTTTAGCCATGAGTCAGGAACACATAGTAATACAAACTCACTGGTTTATGTAAAAGAGCTAGCTCTTGTCTTTTTTCCACTTTATATTTTTATTTAAATTGTGTTTCTGACAAATGGGGCAAGTTAAGATACCTGTTCACCAATATTTGTGGAGGAGACTTTTAAGATTTTTCTTTTGCCTTGATATGTCATCCTACGGAGGATGTGGAGTAATTTTTGGGAAGTGACTGAGGAAGTATCTAGCAGCTATCTGGATGTCTCCACAGCTCATCTGAGTAGACATAACATCCAATTCTGTTTCCAAATAGCCTCTTTCTCTCTTTTCAGCCTCAGGTGGTTGCTTTTGGGGTCTGTTGAGAGCGCTTGATTGAGGATAGGAGGCCTAAAGTTCAAGTGGCTGTAGGGAACTGAGGAGCTGAACTGGGAAGGGAAAAGTTTGGCAGGGTGGATAGAGGGGTGGAGGAGGTGTAGGAGGTTGAAGGGGGACATATCAAAGGATTCAAGAGAACTGGAGTGAAGATTGAAGGTGGTAAAAGGAGGAATGAGGAGCAGAGGTGATGGGAAGGGAGAGGTTTTAGAGGAGCCAGTTTGAGAGAGATCTTAAGTTTCCCAAAGAGGCCACTGAAGTTCCATATTATCCTTAGTGAAATAATGCCAACAAGAAAGGAAGCAGACAGATTTGGCGGGCATATACTCAGCAGGGGTTCAACAAGGGAGTTTCAGTCAGTTGAGAAGCTCCCATGTTCTTAACTAATGGTACCTTTACACTTAAACAGAAAACTTAGGACTCTATTATAGCTTCTGTGCCTGACAGAGACTAGCCTCTTATAAACAAAGAAGCCTGGGGCCTGTTTGCTGGGGACTCTAACCCAGCTTCTTAGAAACAGAGAAACCTAGGACTCTAACCCAGCCTCTGTTTATCTGGAACTCTAACCAGATTCTAGAGTATACTCAGAATCATAAGAATCAAAATCTGTCCCTACTATCTTCAATGGAGTAATGGTTTAGGAGTGGATTCACCAATGGACCCCCAATCAGTGAGTCAGGAGTGAAGACAAGGCTTCAAAGGTGTGCACTTAGAGTGCTGAATGAGTGTTCTGGGGGTCCAAAGACGAATCTGATCCTATCTGAGTTGCAGCACCATAACTGTCAAAGAAAAACCAGAGCTGGGCAGTACTTAAAGTGGTAAATTAGATTTTCAAAGAATCTTGGTCACTCTTGGCCTTGTCTGCATTTACCTCAAGACCCCACTGGGGGAGGACATACTTCCAAGCTCATTTATACACTCATGTGACTAGTTTTAGGCCCCAAGCGCTTGCTGGCTGTTGGTTGGAGACATCAGTTCCTTGCCATGGAAGTGTCTCCATAAGGCTACTTACAACATGGAAGCAAGGGCAAAGACAAGGAGAGAGAGAGAGGGAGGGAGGCTGGAAGGGAGGGAGAGAGGTGGAACCTAATCTCAGAAGTGATATCCCGTCACTTTTGCCATATCCTATTCATTAGAAGTAGAAGTAGTCACTAGGGCCGGCCCACACACAAGGGAAGGAGGTACTATAGGCATGAACACCATGAGACAGGGATCACTGGGAACCATTTAGAGGCTACCTACTGCAAGTAGATTGGTATGAGATTGTGAAAACTCCTAAATTGAATGCTAAATTAAGCAGTTTGGTCTTCAATTTTCAGAAAGGAAGAACTGCTGTAAGTTTCTAGGTAAAGGAGCAACGTGTAAGTTCTATCTTTTTAAAAAAATAATTGTGCATCAGTGAGGCAGATGCATTCTTCACTTTTATTGTTTCTAGAATAAGGTCTTACATATATATTGTAACTGTAAATTTATTTCGTGTCTTTCATTGATATAGCTCTTCTAGGTATTATAGTGACCTAGTTTGGCTGTGGAGTGGTGATATTGCTAATATCAAGAGAGGTTGTTCTCAGATGAGGTGGGAAGCTCCCAATGCTCTTGGGTCTGGGCTTCACAGGGAAGCCAGTTTAAAATCTAAAAGGAGTAGGGGCCGGCCCTGTGGCTTAGCGGTTAAGTGCGCGCGCTCCGCTGCTGGCGGCCCGGGTTCGGATCCTGGGCGCGCACCGACGCACCGATTCTCCGGCCATGCTGAGGCCGCGTCCCACATACAGCAACTAGAAGGATGTGCAGCTATGACATACAACTATCTACTGGGGCTTTGGGGTGAAAAATTAATAAATAAATAAAAAAAAAGAAATGTGAGCCATAAATGTGAACCACGTATGCTTTTTTAAATTTTCTAGTAAC